AAAAAAAAAAAAAAAAAAAAGAATAAAGTTGGAGGGCTTCTACCTGCCTTCAAGACTTCTTATAAGCTACAGCACCTAAAGCAGGCAGGAATGGCACAAGGAGAGACTAGGGGACAGAGAAGCCCCTATAGCCTGACACATATAGGAAGGTGACTGATGACGCCACAGGGAGAGGATAGTGCTTAGTCAACTGAGGGCCAGACAGAGGAAGTGAACCTCCACCCCCAGCTCATACCAATGGATTCCAGATGAAGGATAGATCTAAAATGAAAGGCGTATATAATATAGGAATCTAGAATATAATATAGGAAACTATCTTCAGGGCCTTGGGGTAGTCAAAAATGTCTTTAAAAGGACATAAAAAGCACTAAGGAAAAGAAGTAGACTGATAAGCTGGACCACACTAAAATGAAGTTGTCCTTTAGAAAGTGAAGACGGAGAGAGCCAAAAGTGAGAGAAAACATTTGCAATATATATTTCTGAAAAAGGACTTGTATCTCGAATCCACTACAAACTCCCACAAATCAATAAGAAAAAGACAGACAACCTACCAGAAAAAGCCAGGCAAGACTTGTGAAAAAACACACAAAAGACACCCACATAGTTAACCAGCATATGAAAAGGTGTGCGGTGCCAGTTATCATGTGGGAACTGCAAATTAAAGCCCAGGTGAGGCGCCACTCCATACCCCTATATACCACTGGAAGGGCCAACATTTGAAAAAGGGACAGCAGATATAGTCAAGTGAACTCTCATATGCTGCTGGAAAACTGAAATACCACTTGGTAGAATCTACCAAAGCTAAATATCCATAACCCCAGGACCCAACATTTCCCTCCTAAGTGTGTAACCAACAAAGCTGCACAAGTGCAGGCATCAAAAAAAATGTCCAGAGCAGCAGGAACGCTGGTAGCAACCCCAAGTTGGAAACGATGTGTTCTACCACCACAGAGTAGGTAAGCTGTGGCACATTCATAGAATGAATGCCACACAGCAGTGAGAATGAGCAGCGATGTGGGTGAGCTCAGACGTGATGCTGACAACAAAGTCAACATAAGTGGACACGTATCGCTAGACTCCACTTACATCAACTCGGAGACAGGCAAAACTATTCCAAAATGCTGCAAGACAAACAAGCAGTGATTCTTGGGGCTTGGAGGGTGGATGACTGTGAGGTGCCAGAGGGGAGCTCCTGGATGCTGAAATGTTCTACGTCTGCCCTGGATGGTGGTTTCATGGCTGGTTCACTTGGCAAAAATCTGTCACACTGTATCCAAAAGTTATGTGCTTTACTGTACTTGCACATATACTATACTTTTAAAAAGTTTACCAGTATATATCAATAAGAAAAAGTTAAACAACTCCAAAAAAAAAGTAAGCAAAAAACACAGGCTGTTCACAGAAAAAGAAATGCAAGTGGCTTGTAAACCCAGGAAAAGATACTCAAGTTGACTCCAGGGAAGCCAAGAATAATTTAGCCTGAAAGGCCCCAGGTACGGGGACAGAGGCCTTGAGCCTGATGCAGGAGTGACACCACAAGGCATTTGGGCAAAAGCCACCACATTGACAACTCTCACACTTCCCACACATGCATTCTCAAACATGTCAAAATGCTCGTGTGTACAGATATTCATTGTAGTTTTGTCTGCAACAGCAAAAGACGAGATGTGATTCCATCAGAGACTGGGATTATGGAATTTTCCTACAATGAAACACTATGAAGAAGCTAAAAATAGCCAGGCAGCACTACGGGAATGGCTGTGAAGCAACTTGCAGGAGATTTTAAGCAAAAGCAGCAGGAAGCTGTGTTACCACTAAAGAAAAAATTGTGAGCAGGCACATGCACACACATGTGCACACAGACTGCCTCTCTAGGAACAAATCTGGAACAACATTGGCTGTGGCCTTAGGGGCGTGGGTGACTGGGGAGGAGACCTAGAATTGGCAGCAGGTACGTGGACAATCTAATCATAACAGAGTCACCATGGGGGAAGTGGTTGCATAGCTATACTCAGCTAAGTGGGCCGTCAGGAAAACCTATGCATAGGGGCTAGGGACCGCTCGGTATGGCCTTGATGGTCAGAGACTGTGTGGCCAGGTTAACCCAGGGTTTCCCAGACCTACCTGATGAAGTACCTTTTGTGTGTTTTAAGTTTAAGAAACTTCAAACTGCCGGGCTCAAACTGCTGGGCTCGGTGGCTCAGCCTGTAATCCCGCGCTTTGGGAGGCTGAGGTGAGTGGATTGCCTGAGCCCGCGGGTTCGAGACCCGCCTGGGCAACTTGGCGAGACCTCATCTCTACAATAAATCAAAAAATCAGCCAGGCGTGGTAGTGCCTGTAATTCTGGCTACTCGGAAGGCTGAGGTGGAAGGATCGCTGTAGCCCAGCAGGTCGAGGCTGCAGTGGCTGGGAGCGGCCACTGTACTCCAGTCTGGGCGACAGAGTGAGACTACAACTCAAAAAAAAAAAAAGAAACTTCAAACTTCCTGATAGAACCCACATGAAAACAGTGAACCAGGGGCTTCACTCTGCCTCCTCCTCTTCCCAGCCCTAGGCCACCCCATCAGTAGCACGCACCTGGGAGGAAAGAGAGTTCTTGTGGATTTTCTTGTGGATCAGAGCTGGGCAGATGAAGCAGATGAGGCTCCCCATTGTCGCACCTGTGAGACCCAGGATGGTCTCCACTAGGAACAAGAAGTGACAGGAAGGTTGAGCAGGGAAGGGCTGCAGCTGGGAGTAGAACCCAGGCCTCACCCAGCCCACAATTGAGGACCGGCATCAAAGGAAAGGCTGTGTAAGTGCGCTAGGAGCAGAGGTACCCCCTATGCCCAGAGGGTTCCACACATCCTCTCCGATTCCTCAAACAGGGCCTCTGGGCATCTGGCAGGGGCTTCTGATGGCTCATCTTTGAAGAGCAGAATACTGGGGATTTCCCTCCTAAATCAGATGTGGGCTCCATACTGCATGGGTTCCACGGCATTCTCTAGCTGCTCTGCGAGTAACTTAGCAGGACCTATCCTAGGGGCATGTGTAAATGCCAGGGCCTGAAGTGTGCTGGCGGATGCAGGCAGTCTGTACAGGCCACCTCTGGAGATGTTCCCTGGGGAGGCGCCTGCGAGTTCCCCCATGTATCTGATGACAATAAACTGTCTTGTGTGCTGGGGAGTAGGTGCATGTGCATAACATCAATCTTGCTCGGGGCCTTCAACATTTCCCTTGGTAACATGTCAACAAAATCAGAAGTCAACAGAGCCAATAGTAAGGAAGGGTTGTTCTATAGTGGTTTATTTTACAAATCAGGCCCATGTCCCAGAACCAGAGTCTCTCTGCCCAGGTGTCAATGCATGAGTATACTGTTCCATCAGCCACCAAATACTATCCCTGCCTTTCTCTGTGGGCCATGGAGTTGCCAGACATTTTTAGGAGAGTAGAGAGAACAACACATGACTCCGAGAGTCTGGTTGAAGTCGATGCCCCTAGGCCCTGTGTAAAGGCAAGGATAGAAAAGAATGTGAGGGGAGAAGAGGCAGTGGGACCACAGGCGGGCAGCCCTCCCACCTTACCGTTAGGAATCAGGATGCCGCCGACCATGGTCCCAAATACCACCGAGAGGGTGAGCGCTTTAAACCGGAGAGGTGGCATGTAGCCCCCAGCTGCAAACGTGCCATCTTTCTGCTACATAAAAGAAAATAAAAACAAAAAGATTTTGAAATGACCACTCTCCTAAAGGCAACGCCTTAAAGAGTTCTGCCAAGTGCACCGGATGTGTCTCACATGAGGCCAGGCAGCACCCACCTGGCAGGTGAGCATGACCAGCATAATCAGATCTGGCTGAGCAACTTTAATGGGAACCTGCAACCTGAACCTGCAACACACTAGGAAGGCACACATGCTTTTCACCCCAGGCATGGACTATAAATTTTACAACCTCGTTTTGAAATGTTAGTATCGAGTCCCTCCGTTTTCCTTCTTGATCTCAGAGCAATGCCACGACAGATTTTGTAAAGTGCCAGGAAGTATGGAGAACAGAAGACAGGCTCCACAGTCCCACCTACCAAGTGACTCAGGGTCTTTCCTAGCCTGCGGGCTTCAGAGTACAGGCAGAACCCCTCCCACATGCACACATGCATGCATGTACACACATATGCGCGCACACACACACTCAGCTGTGTTATTGTCAGCTCTAGCAGATGTGTCACAAGCAGTTAGCAATTTCAAAGTCCAAGAAGAAGTAAAGGAAAGAAGGATATGATGTGGGATAACCAAGCCATAAGTGCCCGTCTCAGCTCCAGGAAGCACCTAGACTTCCACCACCCGACATGTATGGACACAAGGATCATGGTCCCAGATGAGGATATAGAGTCAAAGGCGAATGGCTTCAGGCCCCATCTACCCAAGAGCCTCAGGTGTGGTCCAGCACACTGACACTGCAGTCAGACTGCCTGGCTCTGCCATTTGCCAGCCCCAGCGTGTGCCACTGAGCAAGTAACTTAACCTCCACGCCTCAGTTTCCCCATTAACAGAAGCGTCTCAGCCAGTTGTGGTGAGGACCAAATGAGTTAATACAGGGAGGGCTGGCATGATCGTTATCCCTGGACTAGGAAACAACAGCAGACCTTCCAGAACCAGAGTTTCAAAGTACCAAATTTTTAGAATAGACATTTATACAGGATGGATTGAGGGGGAGCTGGAGCCTGAATTTCCAATCAACTTTAGGACGATAATTTGTACATGGGCTGGTGAGGAAGGAGGTTAGATCCATGACCCAGGCAGGAGTCAGTCCTAGAAATTTACCTATGAAATATTCCCAGAGAAGAGGAAGAGGGGACTTCATGCATAAAGGTTGTCTTGAGACAGTTATCCATGAGAGGTCAAGGGTGAAAGGTCAGAAACAACCAGGTAGAGGAGCAGGGAGAAGAGATGCTGTGCTTTTTCTGTGGAAACAAGAAATGTTCCCCACACATCAACGGAAGACAAGAAAACAAGGTTAAGTGACTCTGGTGCACCTCAGTAAAAACGGAAGCTACAGACACAGAGGGGAGTAAGGCCACAGACGCACCCACACTGAAATGAAGGGATGAGTGAACTTTCTTACTTAATACTTCTTTTAATGCCACTATTAATTTTTTATAAAAACATAAAAATGAGGCACGGCATTGTGGCTCACATCTGTAATCCCAGCACTTTGGAAGGCCAAGACAGGAGGATTGCTTGAGCCCAGGAGTTTGAGAGCAGCCTAAACAACATAGCAAGACTTGGTCTCTACAAAATAATAATAATAATAATAATAATTAGCCAGGTGAGATGGCATGCCTGTAGTCCAAGCTACTTAGGAGACTATGGTGGAAGGATGGCCTTGGCCCAGGGGGTTGAAACTTTGTGAGCTGTGATCTGGGCCAGAGTGAGATCTTGTCTCAAAAAAAAAAACCAATTAAAAAGTATCATGTACAGAAACATAGATGCTGCTCAGTTAGGAAGCATCAAACAGTGAAAGGCAGAGGCCAAGCTAGGTGAGTATGGGAGAACTCCATGGCCAGATGAGTGGGCCCAGCCCTCACCCCAAGCACAAAATCCTCAATCCCACCTTGCCTGGTGCTCAGGGGCCTGAACATAGTGGAGGCCTGAACACCTGCTCATAAGGGGGATGCTCAGTGCTTGGAACGAGGCCTTAGCTGTGTAGTTGGAGGCACCATCACCAGTGGGAGTCCACAGGAGACAGACATGAACTACAGTGCTGCAGCGTCTACATGCCCAGCTAAGCAGGCAGCGAACCCTCTGCGATCATTCCCAAGGCCCAGGGTGGCCCACTCTCCCCAGTATGGCTGCTGGACTTTCCCCTGGATTCCCTGAGTCCACTAAACCCCTCTTTGGCCTAAGCAACTCACGTGAAACATGTGTCCCTGGTCACCAGGAGTTCCAGCTGACAGGACAGACCAGGCTCAAAGATCCCAAGCCGAGGGACAGAAGATGGATTGGTCACCCTGCCAGATCCTGAAGGGAGGCAGGTGGGAAGCCTAGACTGGGCAGGCCCCTCCTAAACTCAAGCTTAGGGCTCTACCCCCCACGCTCTGGGGTTTGGTTGTTAACTCAGCACCAGGGAGAGAACCAGGAGAGTCTTTGGGTTTCAACTCCTATACTTGAAAATTTCTTACAAAGGATGAAGCAGCCGCCTTGCTACATATATTACAGTGAATACAACCCAGTCTCTTTTTAAATTTTTTTTAAGATGGGGTCTTACTATGTTGACCAGGCTGGCCTTGAATTCCTGGGCTCAAGCCATCCTCCTGCCTCAGCTTCTCTAAGAGCTAGGACTACAGGTGACACCACCATGCCTATTATAAAACACAGCCTCTCTTATAGTTCAGAAATCTTTTGCTAAAATTTTCAAAGTTACACAAAAGTACAGAGAACTCTACAGTGAACCCCACATGCCCGTCCCCCACTCCAGCCCCATCAACTCCTGCCCACCAATCTGGTTCCTCTAGGTTCAGCCCACTGCTGCCCTCCCCAGGACCTCTCTGAAGTCAACCCCCCATTTCCTGCCACTTCTCTGATTCAGGAGGACAGCATCGCAGACAGCAGTCAGGAGACAAGCCTGACCTGTGTGGACGCTGTGTTGGCCCCACGTCTCCAGTGGGAATCAGCCCTGCTCTGCTCTGTTGCTGTGTTCTAAAGTTGGTTCCCTATTACAAGATCTCATTTCAATTGATTTTTTAAAATTTGTAACTAGGAAGAACTCTACCTACCACTGCCCAGGAAAATACAGAACTAACAAAAGCAAGCAGAAGATAATGCTACTAAGATCAGGGAGGTGCCTGGAGATTCTCACCTGCTGCTCGAAAAGCAGCGTGTTCAAGGCCTGTCTGCACGGCAGGATCATCATGGGGAAGCCCACAGCCACCGACATCACAAAGCCCACGCGGATCATCTCCGTCACCAGGTTGGAGGGGAAGTGCATCAGCACATTGCCTGCAGTAGCATCCATGAAACTGACATAACCAAAAAACCCCACCTGCCAGAAAATGAGAAATGGCAATGTGACTCATGGACATCCCCACTGCGTGGCACCTGTCACAGTGGAGGGGACACGGGGGGCTTCACTGTCTCCCAGAATAGTCTTGGAGCCTCTTTACAAGGAAGCATCTGCAGGAGTCAGCTGCTAAGGGCAGAGTCTCCTCCTCCTTAAAACTTTCCCTTCTGATAACCAGAAATCTCGATGCCAAGGACTGGAAGGTGGGGTTCCATGTAACTTTTCAGCAGGACAGTGGGGTAATGAGGAAGTAGAAGAGCCTGCATGGAAAAGAAGGTACCAGAATATCCCAAAACCCCTCCGAGGAACAGATCATAATCTGGTTTCAAAACCCAACTGAGGAACCACGGGGTGAATTGTGGTTCCCACAGAGTAGAATGCAGGTGTCAAGGACAATTCCAGGGACCACATGGAGCAGTCAATAGAATGCCGAGGCCATGAGGCTTAGGGAAATAAGCTACAAGCCCCGCATCTTAGTATTTTATTTAAAGACATCAAGTAGGAGCATTAAAGAGACTAGAAAGAAAATCTACTAAAGTGTTAACAGTAACTGCATTGGTGGCTGGAATTGGAGGCTATCCTCTTTCTCTTCTATTTCACGCTCTCCCACTTTTTTTTTTTTGAGTTGGAGTCTCACTCTGTCACCCAGACTGGAGGGCAATGGCACACTCCCGGCCACCGCAGCCTCGACCTGCTGGGCTCCAGCGATCCTTCCGCCTCAGCCTTCCAAGTAGCTGGAACTACAGGCGCGCGTGACATGCCTGGCTAATTTTTTATTTATTGTAGAGACGAGGTCTCGCCAAGTTGCCCGGGCGGGTCTCGAACCCATGGTCTCAGGCAATCCGCTCACCTCGGCCTCCCAAAATGCTAGGATTACAGGCTGAGCCACCAAGCCCAGCCTCGCTCTCCCATTTTTTAATGAACACACCCATCTTATACTAAATTAATGAAAGTTTTGGAGAGATAGTAAGAGTTTCTTAGTTAGAGCAATCTGGGAGCAGCCCTGTTGCTGAGGTGCTGAGCTCCTCAGGTCAGAGAAGCCAACACAGCCCAGGGTAGATGCAGGCTCCAGGGCCAGGTCCTAGAATAGCCAGAGCTGAGGAGCAGAGCTGTCCTCAGGCTATCAGGCAGTGTACCTCCAGACACCAGGAAGGGAAAGGAGAGAAGGACCCGGCAGTTCAGAGAGCCAAGAACATGCCTGCAGCATTGACACCAGGCCTGGGCAGGGTCTCTAGTGTGAATCATTCCCTGGGACCTGTGAGAGGCTGGAGGGGCGGCATTCATGGGGGCACTGAGGCATATTACACTAATGTGACACAGGCATGGTGAGGGTGAGGAAGGGCTCCTACCATGACGTAGAAGGTGGTGACCACATTGAGGGAGGAAGCAAATATGGAACTCATGGTTTTTACCGATGGCTCGTCCAGGCTGTCATAGGTGGGCAGAACCTGGCTGTATAAAAACAAGCGATTTCACACAGTGGACTCTAGAGAGACAAGTCCTCCCCTGGCCAAGCTAGTCTCAGGACCTCTTTGCACCCTACCCCCACCCCGAAAGTCTCTGGCACCTTCCTTCCTGCAACATTCCCTACACACTAGAAGTCCCAGCACCAAGGCCAGGATTTTGTGACCAAGCATGGCAGTGTCACAGCAGTTCCCATTCGTCCCCCCAGAGTACACGCCACATAAACATGTCACAGGGCTACAGAATGAAAGGCCGTCTGTTCCACGCCAGGGAGCACGGCGCTGAGAATCAGAGCAGTGCGTTTACAGGGCGGAGCAGGAAGCCGTTCAGAGCATTGCTGTCAAAAGAAGGAAAATTAAACAAACACACCCTGGCCAGGGCGGCCACCCATCTCTGTGCCTCTACACAGACGTGATCAGAGCCAGCACAGACAAGGAAACGGCCTAGGGCACGCTTCCCAACTCGTGGCCTCCCGCATGTGTGATGAGAAACTGGCTTCTGTCCACGGCCTGGTGCCAGGAGTGTGGTGCTGCCAGGGGGTGGGAGGGACCCAAGTCACTGGCCAGGCAGAGACGTGACAGTCCCACGCAAGTCCCTAGGCTCTCCTGAGTGCATGGCAGCAGGCCCACCTGAGGGAAACAAACAGGGACCTGGGCAACTGGGAGAGGGGTGGGTGAGACAAGAGAGAAAGCCTGAGGGACTGGAGGGGTCTGTGCATCCCAGAAGGAGAAGGCTGGGCTGAGGCAGATCCAGCCAGAACACAGGTATGAGCCACTCTGGCATGGGGCTCAATTAGGCCAGGTGGGGGGAGACTGGGAGCTACTCCTAGGGTGTCCTGATGGCTGTGGCCGTCCCAGCAGGGCTCACTAACAAAAAGAAAGCCAGGTCAGGAGGTGGAAGGGAGCACCAGGATGCAAAATTCGGTAGCCAGTAAATGGACACGCACTATAGACAGTAGGGTTTTTTTTTGACTCCACTGTCTAATCCCAAACGGCCTCTAAAAAAGTAAAGAAAAACAAGATACCTAACTTTACTAAAAAGCATGTAGACAAGGACAAGGGAAGACCTTGCCAGTAGGCACTGCTGTCCCTGCTTTCCCCAGGCTCACGGTGAACTGTTCCATCTAGCTACCCGTAGCACGGGGGCCCCCAGCAGCGGTCAGGGGACCCCGCAGGAGAGGTGCCCTCCCCTCAGAGTACACACATCCCCAGGGGGCTGGCAGAGGACTAGGAGAAGAAATGCTCCACGAGGGCTCTGTGTTCCCAGGATCCATGGCTCTGGAAGAAGACCCATAGCTCTGGAAGAAGACCAAGTCATGAAGCAAATGTCTCGGTGCTGACCTGTCCTCTGGCTAGAACAAAGTCCACACCAGGGAGTCCCTGCTGTGGGAGACCAGTGTGAGAGTCCCGCCACACAGCCTCACCCCTCAGCCCCCAACACACTCCATGAGGAGTCGCTGCCCAAGAAGCAGCAGTCACTGTGGGGAGGGGCCATGTACCAGGTGGACAGGGTGGATAGGTCAGGTGCAAGCTCCTCTCCAATCCTGACCACCCACCCAGGTATCCCCTAGATCGCCCCTGGAGAGAAACAAGATGGAAGCCACAAACCCTTGTGGTCACCTGCCCAAGAGTCCCCATGCTACTGGAGGAGGGAGTAGAGCCTGTGCTTCAGTCCTCCGCCCCCGGAGGGCATTCCCAGACCACCCACCTTGTGACACAGCCTCCATGACTTGAGGTCTGTTAGAGTCAAATGGAGCTTTCTGCATGCAACTCTTGGTAGTGAACCCCTTTGCCCCACTGTCCCCACTGCAAGGACTGGAATCCCAGTCTCCAGGTAGACCCTGCCCCTCCTGGGCCTCCTGTGCTCACTGCTACCCCGGCCACTTCTCTGGGCTAGGATGACAGCTCTGAGAGCATTCATTTACCATGAGGTAAGACCAGAAGGCACCAGACCAGGAAGGCATGGGGGAGGCCTGGTTGATCACACAGGCAGGGGTCTGCCCAGTCACCCCATCGGGGATAAGCAAAGTGACACTGTAGGAGGGAAGAGCTGTTTCTGTGCTCAGAACATATTCCTGGGTTTCAGGGCGGGGAGGGCAGCACACTGCACCGCACAGGGAGGGGGCAGTCCCCCGCTTGGGAGAACATGGGGCGAGCCTGTGGGCCCAGAGGCCCTCTGGGAAAGGCAGAAGGAAACCTGCACTTAGCGAGCCACATACTCCAACCCTTTCAGAACCTATAATTTGTCCTGTGAGCCAAACCCAACAGATGTGTGCGGGCTACTACGTGGCCACCACCAAAAAAGCCCAACTGCAGATTTATTTTTAAAAAGCAAACGTGCAGACAAAAAGGACAACTGGTAACTAGGTACGCGGTGAAAGAATGCAGCTTCTGTCACCGATTATAATGGGGATATTAAACAGCAAGACTGGAGCACGTTCTGGTGGAGCCCGAGCTGCCAAGAGAGATGCTAAGTGGGAAATGACGATTTGGATCTCGCATGTGGGTGTAAACACAGCAGTATGAACAAATTTTATCTGTCACATTAGTTTACGATTGGCTCGATGCGTGCCCACTAACGCAACGGGGGCTGCTCTGCCAGCCCCCCGCGCACGATGGTCTTTTCCCGTCCGCGCCGGATTTACGCCTCTCTTTTCAGCCGGTTACCGTTTTCCGACCAGGCATGAATCACTCGCTCTTGTCACTTTGGTGGAGAAGGTAGTATGGCTGGAATTATGGAATCGCCTGATCTGCATTTACAGAGCTCCGCGTGCCAGGGAGAGGCAGGCTCACGCGCTCACAGGCCTCCAAACACATCCCAGCAGCAGCCCGAAGTCAATGTTTGTGCAATTTCCTTTTAAATATTCTCAGAAGAACAGCTAAATGCTGGCAAAATGCTCAGGACTCTGCGCAATCAGATGGTTTGGGTTGTTGCTTCATCCCCCACAGCCAATGCTCGCTCATGGGGAATTTGGCAAACTAGGGCCTCTCACCAGCTAGTCCCGGCAACAGATCTCAGGAATAAAGTCGGTTTATGTCTTGATTAAAATAGAACTAGCTCCCTCAACTTGGAGGGGAGGGTCATCATTGAACAATACCTCACTCTCAGGCAGCTAGTAATGAGCAATTAAGCAGAAACGCAGAGGACTCACCCCCAGCATACCGTTCTCCACCCTCATGGCTCCCCTCCCACCAGGACCCCAGAGGAGTACTTACGACTGGCAGGCGAAGGACATGCCGAAGATGGGGATGCAGCGGAAGACACCCTCCCAGCGGACGTAGCTGACCCCCCGTAGCCACTGCCCCCCGAAGAGCCCGTGCTTGAAAGAGGACAGCATGATCTATACCCGGGAGACAGAGAAGAGCGTGGGACAGGTCAGGACACGTGGGCACTGTGGTGGGGAAGGAGGGGGGCAGGGGGCAGCTTCTCCTGCCCCACATGACAGCCTGGTTCCGCCAGCTGGAGGGGTGGGGGACCTGCCTAGGAGCACTCTGGCCCCTGCTATGCACTGGTGGGTGCTGCCGGGGGTGTGCCTATCTGTAGGGGATGTCCCACGCACAGGGAGCAGCTGCTGTGCAGGGAGCTGCTTAGCACAGATGAAGGCAAAACCCTACGCACAGCACTTGACACATTTCTATCAGGTTACAGAGGACGCTTCCCCCACGTGGGGGGTCCTTCCCCGGTTCCCTACTGTGCCAGACACAGACAACGTCCAAAAGATGGACCAACCAAGGATGTGGCTACCTGAAGAGTAAGGAGCCCTGGTGACTAGCAGCTTCAATTAACAACCTGCCCCCGTGCTGGGGCAAACCTGCTGCAAAGGTCCTCAGGAAGGGTCCACTCTGACCTTGCCAGGGTATGGGCAGGTCCTGGGAGGTGGAGACTAAGGTCTTCCATGGGCAGGGACCAGCAGAAGGTGGAGGGCTGTGCTGGAGGCTCACACCCCAGGAGTCCTCCGTGTTAACTCTACACTCTATCCTCTGGACTATTCTGTTATCAACTTTCATTTTAAAAAAACAACCTCTTGCCACCTTGTGACCAAACGCGGGCACCATGAACCTTGGTCACAAACCCCACATAAAACATCTTTCCAGCTGGGCTCAATGGCTCAGTCTGTAATCCCAGCACTTTGGGAGGCTGAGGCGAGTGGATTGCCTGAGCCCACGGGTTTGAGACCAGCCTGGGCAACATGGTGAGACCTCATCTCTACAATAAATCAAAAAATTAGCTGGGTGTGGTAGCACACACCTGTAGTTCCGGCTACTTGTAAGACTGAGGCAGAAGGATCACCAGAGCCCAGCAGGTCGATGCCACTACATTCTAGCCTGGGCGACGGAGTGAGACTCCAACTCAAAAAAAAAATCTTTCCATAAGGCAAATAGACTCTACAATCTACACATTTATTTCCCAGAGCCAGACAACGTGAAACTGGTCTTGGAGCCACCGCTGCTCTGAGCCCTCTCCTCTCTTGCTGTCCGACCACACTCAAGTCCAGGCATCTCTGTCCACCCATGTGCTCCATGATGGGAGGTGAGTGGAGCTTCCTGGGACCTTCTAATGATGCTAACAGCTCCCAGGCCCTGAGCCACTTTATCATTCTCTGGCCGGCAGTGGTGGCCACACCACACCTGCCACAGCCCCGTTATGGCTATGGGAAAGACTAGGCTGCAAACAGCCCCCTGATGCTGTGCCCCAGGCCACTCACAAGCACGTGGACTCACCACGAACATGAAGACAGTGTAGAAGATGAGCGCCATGGCACTGAAGGACTGGATGGAGGCCATCATGTTCCTCTGCAGGCTGAGAGGGAGCACGATGCACAGGGACACCACGAACAGCAGGAACATGCGGAAGGTGCCAGTCACCTGGGGGAACAGCAAGTATCCTGGGTGATAGTACGAAGCTCACTCATCAGTGGGGGCTCATCTTCACTGCTGGGCACAGGGAGTGCCCGGAGGCCCAGTACCAATAGCACCCAAGAGCACAGAGCCGGCAGGGTCCAGAGCCAGCACACTCCCCCAAAGCTGTTCTCACGGCCACTATGCTGTGCAGCCTCTCAGGCACTAAACATTTCTGGTCCCTAAGGGTCTAGTACAGTCCAGAGCAAGACCAGCCAAGCAAATGGCAGCTGTCCCCCTTAACACGAGAAGGAACATGATGGGAGTGGATCTGCATCTGTGCTGCCCTGGATGGTAGTCAGTGCCACCGAGCATACCCGCCAGACCTAGCACTGATGCGGTTGTTGGGACCAATCAAGCCTCTTGAGGTATATCCCCACCCAGCGGAAACTCAGAGCTGACCTTGCTTCCAGAAGGATGGGATCTTGAAATGCTGGTTCAGAAAATTAATTTTAAAACTCCATGCTGGTGTACATTACAGCAGAACACGCAAAGACCTAGAAATATCTGGCATCTGACCTGGCTGCATCCACAGTACATGACTTCCTAGTTCCTGACCCAGAGCCTAGGGCAGCAGGCTGGAGGTGACCGAGCCCCGCTGAAACCCTTCAGAATGACCCTCAGCACTTTCTCCACAGCCTCAAACCCCTATAATTTACCCCAAACCCACGCGGCTCGGCATGCAAATGCCACAAGCCTGGGAAACACTGGACAACATGCCACAGGGCAGGAGGACAGGCAGGCACTGGCATGGCTGACCCATGTGGACCAAATGCTTCTGTTTCCTACAAGAGGGCCTGTGTGGGAAACACTGCCTAGTGGCAATAGGCAACAACACCCCACCTTCAATTCCCACAGAACTAAAGGGTGAGACATGGACACAAGTGCAGGCTGGCAAGCACAGGAAAGGTACAGGGTGCCCATGGGCAGGACAAATCCAAAGTTCCCTAAGTTCACAGCAAAACATGAAAAACGGGAAGTCCAACAGGAAGACGTGGCAGAACACAGAATGAGGGACATGCTCACAGGACACTCACTGGACTTTTCTCTGACAATATACAAATCTGGCATTCTACCCACAGGAGGACCATGGCTTCCTCTTCCTCAACAATTGCCCTTTGAAATTGAAAGCCTTTTCTACACTGTGAGTGTCCACAAATCAAGGCCCCCTCAGACAGAAGATACCCAGAGCCATGGTGTCTCACTGCCATCACTCAGTGAGGTGCTCAGCTCCTAACAGGGGAGGAAAGGATTTGCCAGGCCAGTCACAGGTGGGATCGTGCAGCAGCAGGGGTGGTGAGCATGGAGGATGCTACACAAACATCCCCATAAGGAGCGAGGAATGCCAAGTCAATGGCTCTTTGGGCTGTGCCTTTGGACCTACCCAGCAGGGTGAAGACTAGTATCCTAGGTAGCTCCTGCCAATGACCATACATGTGGATGCACGAGTTCTGGTTACTTCTGCCCTTTAGTGGCCAGCACTGCTGGCTGAGGCTTGCTTTCATGGCACTATGGTCTGAGGCTGGTCCTACCTCCCCTTACCCTGCCCTTCCTCTGCTTGGTATCAGGCCTGCACTGTGGCCTGGAGGTCTCTGGACCTGCTCTGGCATCCTCTCCCTGGTACTCTCCATAGATGTTACCCCAGAAAACTCCCTACACTCCACCAAGGACCTGATCGGACAGCAAGACACGACAGAAGCTTCTTCTGACCTACTGTGCTGTTCTCAGCCTGGGCTTACAGGAGTGTCACAGCGAGGGCCACAGAAGCAGCCACAAGCATCTGAATAAACCAGAGCATCTGAAAATGTATTTACCTGAAACCCAAACAGCCGGGCAAAGAAGTTGGACCCCAAGTCACCAATCACAACGTAGAAGGCAATGCAGGTACCCAGCATCAGCCCAATCATGCTGCAAAGAAAGAAGCATGAGTGGGAAATGGGATTTTTAGGGAGTCTGCCATCTTATCATGAAGGACGCTGAACCCTTGAACAAAACCCAGGAGGAGGCACTGAACGCCAAGCCCCATACCCGCCTACTGCTGCTGACCACTCCAAAGTTGGGTTAAATGAAATATGGGAGTTCAGACACTCAGCAGTTTATAGGGCACAGGTAGGTTTTGTGGTATTCACTATTTTACTTGGAATGATTATTGAACAAAGCTAAACTTCTCTTTGCGTGGTATTATATTCTTCTCTCCACAGGAGGTTCTAAAAGTTCTTTCAGGTGCTACAAAAATGCCCTGTGATGTTAGACAAGTTAAAAGAACAATCAACTGCCTTCAAAAATGGTTGCTCTTTCAAGTTTACAATTCCCTAATTGAGAAGCCTAAAAGTGTAATTTCCCAGCCATTTTTTTTCATCTCATAAAATTTTATTCCAAAGGAAGAAAAACATGACATTTTCAATGTAATGCCACCTTTATGAAGCAGGTTGGAGGGTAGATGTAACGAATGCTGTTGAGAGATTAACCACGGACTGAGGGGGAGCTGCTGTGTTCCCCAAGTTTTCTCAATTTTTCTTAGTAAGACTTTGAGGCTTCCAACCTTGACATGAATCATTTCAAGGGCATGATAAACTGGACTTTCAGCGATTTAGGAAGCAACTCTTCAGAAACATATCCTAAGTCCTAGGCCAATTCGCATAGGAAACCATGGCTCCCTCTGATGGTGCTGGTGTTTCAGGTACAGGGGACAGGGAGGGATGGAGAACAGTGAGCTGGTTTACCTGGTCTCCACCAGCATCTTCCCTGCTTTTCCATAGGCGTGGAATGCTAATGTAGAAAAAAAAGAGAGCCACACTCAATCCAGTAGCATGAGAAGCACATGGGAAAAGTTATAAGCAAGGCTGTGAAGGGTAGAGTCTCCGGGCATGAGGGTAATTTCATTCTGCCCATGCTTTTCTCAGATCGACCACGTACAAATGAAACCACAGGAAGCAAGAGCAGAGCAAGGGAGAAATACACACAGGTTGTTCTCTCAGTCAATAAGAGATTTAAAACAAGAAAGCATCAAGTTGCTGCAAAGCAGTTCCCACACCTGGCAGCCACTGGGGCCTACTGGGAATGGCCCCTGCAGCCGGGCGTGGCTGAACCCCATGGTGTCGGCCAGAGCTCACAGGTACTCAGAAAGACTGGCCCCAGAATGCCCAATCTTCACAGGGGGTGGGGGGAATGTAGAGAACACTTTTAAGTGCGGTACTTCAGGAGGGAGGGAACAAGAGATCCAGGCCTGCCAACATCCCTAGGGAATGATCCAGAAACTTTGCTGACAAAGAGCATGTGTCCCTAACACAGCGTGTCCCACCATGGGGAGGAGCCGTCAGTCTTTCCTCCCTGACAACAGAATTATTTCTAGCAGATGAGAAATTGAGTGCTGACTTGGCAAGGTCCCTCCCAGGCCCCACACCGTGACCCCAGCGTTTCCCCACAGCCCCCAGCCAGACGAGGGCAAAGGGAAGTCCCATCTCCAAGGAGCAACCAGAGAGGGTGCATGTGACAGGATGGCGCTAGCCCCAGCGGCAGCCCCGGCTTCCTGCCCCTCATTTCCTCCCTCACTCGGGCCAGGGGCCTCCGATGAGGTTTAGAAAGCAGGAAACACACAGGTCAGTTGAGTGTGAATGAGTCCAAAAAGCACAGCATGGCCAAGAGCCAGACAGCCCAGGAGCAGCAAAGGTGTCTGCCTCCAGGGGTCACCCTGGCTCTTCCTGGACCCTGCTGACTCACTGATAGAGCCTGGCACCCCTCAAGTTCATCCCACAGAGTGGAAACCCAAGCTGAATCCTGGAGGCTGATCACAATCTAAGCCAAGAATTTCAAACACTAAGAACTCCAGAAATCCTACAGCAGCTGGCAGCCTGAGGCCCTGCTGTCACCAGGAAACCCTCCACACCCCTCGGCAACAGCACAACCCTGGACGCAACACACAAACTCTGTGCCCTAGATGTGGGGGTGCTCCTAGCCATAACCATGCCTTTTTCTTCTCCAAAAGGAAGCTGAGAGTTTACAGCATATTCCAGACACTAGAGCACCTCATCCAAGAAGGTTATGGAACAGGCCTGCATCCCAGACAGAGGAAAATGGAAGGCTGAGTAGCAAGTCACAGGACAACATCTTGAGAGACTACTCTGCTAAGCCATGGTCCTGCCCGTCTCTTTTCCCCATCTGGGGCAGCCTCCCCAGCCCTCAACACTTCTCATCAGTCTCCAACACCAGGCCCAGTAGGGCAGGCCCCACCACTTCGAGGCCCTAGGGACTCTGCCTTCTCACAATGCCAGCCCAGCCCCCAACAGACTGGAAGGACATCTGTGAGCAGCAAGTCCTGAGGGCGTGGCCCACGTTCCTAGTCAGACCATCTCCAGCTAGGACAGGCATGAAACCCATAGAAACCCAGGCGGTCCCAAAGATAAAACCAGACGCAGCACCAGCCACATCCACCACTTACAACTGAGAACTCAGAGGCCATGTGGATGCCTGATGGTCCCTGCTGCTGGGAAAAGGCAGCTTCCAGCCCAGGCCATACACCCCGGGGTTCATCTCCCAACAGGGCAAGGTTCAGGGCTCAAGAACAGTTTTGTGTGGAGCCAAGATATCTGAAGGAGGTTGACTATCTTATACATCTGTGTATCTTCTAAAAATAGGACTTAGAAAAGCTACATCAAAGTGGCAAAGAAGCAGCAGGTGAGTTTATAATAAACTACAAAAATAGCCCACCATCAGCAAAAGCAAACAAAACAAAAAAACACCAAATAACAACAATAAAACCACTAGTACGGTAACTCTCCAATCTGGCAAAGTTCTCATTCTCCATCACGATGGAGGTGCATGGGAAGGGCTAGGTGATCTGTGACCACTTCCTGGGGTCATCCAAGCCAAGGCACCATCACACCCACAGACTGTCTCAGTGGTGCAGAAGTCACTAGGAGAAAACCTCCCAGCCGTTCTGGGAGCACCTGCGCTTTCACCAGGCCATTTGTTGGAAATTCGTTCATTACTCTGGGAATTTCCGCAACATATTCTGTGCTGTCTCCAGGTCTGGACGAAGGCCATCTGCCCATCTCTCCACCCCCGACAGCTGCCTGATACTCATGGACCCGGCAGGCAAGTCATCAAGTGTCGGCCAACAAAGGCCCCGCTGTATGGGGATATAGGGAGGGGTCTCACTTCAGGCCCACCCTTTGGACTTCAGTGAAAGCTCCTGGGGCTGTCTCTTGCCCACGAAGGAAAGGGAGGATCTGGGGAGAAAGGCCTCTCAGCAAGTCTGTGTGTGAGCGACAGGAGTTGGCCCAGCACTTCCTGGAGGCCAGAAGTGTGGCAGGGCAGCTGCCCACTCTGCATGAGGACTCCCCTCAGCGGCACCAGGAGATATTCATCTTGCCTTCTAGAGACATCTTTCTGTGCTCCAGGCCTTTCCACTTCTGAGGAGCAGCCAGGACACAGGGCAGGGGACGCTGAGCAGGGGCCTGGAGATCCCGCCTGGGAGTACATGTGGTTGAGCCATCGTGTGTGCTGTCAAACACACAACCTGAGACTGCCGGTGTTTTGGAAACCTTTTTGTTTCTAACAGGCAGAATTGGACTGCAGTCACCCATACAGTCAAAGGTTGGATGATCACATGGAGCCCCAGGCAGTGTAGGAGAGTCTGTCTAGCAATCTTCTTTCCGTCTTTCACTTCTTGCCAAACCGGTTTGACTTTTCAGGGACTTTCGATGAATAATCAGACAGCGGCTATCAGAAACCATGGCCTCCCAGCCTCGGGTCACTGGTCCTCTTTCAGGACACAACCAAGCACCTGAATTGGGCCCTTGGCTCCAGGATCCCTGTGCAGAGAGCTCAGCAGGCCACGGCGCCACAGATCCGGGAAGGGGCCAGCCCAAGTACCTTGCAGCCTGGTTTCTAGTGAGCACTTCTCATCCCAAGGGAATCAGGCCATCTCACTGTGGATCAAGTGCCACTGGTGAACTTTATTTCCTCAAGTGATGACAATAGAAGTCTCTGACAACACCATTCTCATCAGGAAAGAACAGAGAAGGAAGCCCCCTTGGTTCTGAAGGCAGAAACAAATGCTAGACTCTGGGGTGGCAATGCAAAGTGGACTGCGAGGAAACAGGAGGCCACATGCCAGGAGTGCACACGTGGTTCTTACAGATGTTATTATTTCGGATGTTCGCCTGGAACCCTGCACACCATTTCCTCCCATCCTGTCTCTGCACTCTGCTGTGAGAGCTAAGGGCTGGGGGTCAGGCCACCAGGCTGCCCTCTGCGGGGAGGACCGACGTCCCCATGACAAACTGGCTTGAGAGTCCAGAGCTTTTATTAGGAGGCCAGGAATTCTCACCAGAACCCACAGAGCCAGTGCCTGAGAATACAGATGCTGGTATTTCAACATCCACCCAGAAGCCCCCAGAAAGGAACTTAGGGCCCAGAGGCTCCGTGTCTGGATGAGGTGGCAGGAGAACTCGGGTGCATGAGCTGGCTGGAGGCAGACAGCAAAGTGAGGGCCAGTGGCCTCAAGGGCAAACGATCTAGAAAACATCCCAAACAGCAATGAAGTAGGAAGTGCAGGTTTCTCTTCTTCTGGCAGAAACGGTGTTGAGTGAACAAAGAACTAAAGGAAACAAAATTGCAGTAACTGGGGAAACCTGGAGAGCAGGGGCACTTAACCCCAGCCACAGTGTGGGCCCATGGAAGGCTTCCTCCACAGGCTTGGAAGTGGGAAGCAAGACACTTCAGGCGGCTCTGAAGGAAGGCTTCTGGGATTGAGGGGATTGAGGGGTGCTACACAGCAAGCAAGTCAGCAAGAGGGCTGCAAGAATGCAGTCTCAGCCTGGAGTCGAAGGGGAGGCCCTGGCTCGGATCTGCAGGAAAGGAGGCGGGAGGGACAGGGCAGGGCGAGAGGAGATTTGGGCCTCTTACCTTTTCAATCACTTCTGTTTTGGAACATGTGATTATATTACGTTTTTTAAAACTACATTGTATTTTAAAATAAGAAAAAAGAAAACCTGCTGTCCAAGAAACTCTTGAAGAATAAAGCAGAAGAAAAATTTTAAAAATCAAAGGAGTAAGCTCCCCACCACCCC